GTGGAGCTCCCTATGGGGCTACGAAACGCTGCCCTGGGTGGGGGAACCGCATGCGAACACCCCCACTGGGGCCTTCGGTGGAGCTCCCTATGGGGCTACGAAACGCTGCCCTGGGTGGGGGAACCGCATGCGAACACCCCCACTGGGGCCTTCGGTGGAGCTCCCTATGGGGCCACGAAACGCTGCCCTGGGTGGGGGAACCGCATGCGAACACCCCCACTGGGGCCTTCGGTGGAGCTCCCTATGGGGCCACGAAACGCTGCCCTGGGTGGGGGAACCGCATGCGAACACCCCCACTGGGGCCTTCGGTGGAGCTCCCTATGGGGCCACGAAACGCTGCCCTGGGTGGGGGAACCGCATGCGAACACCCCCACTGGGGCCTTCGGTGGAGCTCCCTATGGGGCTACGAACGCTGCCCTGGGTGGGGGAACCGCATGCGAACACCCCCACTGGGGCCTTCGGTGGAGCTCCCTATGGGGCCACGAAACGCTGCCCTGGGTGGGGGAACCGCATGCGAACACCCCCACTGGGGCCTTCGGTGGAGCTCCCTATGGGGCTACGAAACGCTGCCCTGGGTGGGGGAACCGCATGCGAACACCCCCACTGGGGCCTTCGGTGGAGCTCCCTATGGGGCCACGAAACGCTGCCCTGGGTGGGGGAACCGCATGCGAACACCCCCACTGGGGCCTTCGGTGGAGCTCCCTGTGGGGCTACGAAACGCGTGAGAGGTGTGCCGAGAGCAGAGGCAAGGAGGGGGAGGAGGGAGGAGGAGAGGAAGGAGAGGAACGCGGGGCACCGTCTCTTCAAAACGAGGACCCAACACTACAGGATGGTTGGGAACAAATCGAACAACATCGTTTTGACAACTGCTGTTTTAACATCGTCGGATCGCTCCTGAAAAGGCTTCTAGATGGTTTAAGCCAGCCATCTAAAAATTACGATTTCGCTAGGGAAAACATGAATGTGTGCAACATCGCACTGTACCGGTTTTGGAAGGCATCAGGAAAGCCCCCAAAGGCCCCAAACAAGCCCAAATTTGACCCCCAGGAGCGCCCTCGAGACGATCCAAAATGGCGATTTCGTCTGAGACATCCTTACAACAATGAAAAGTTCTCAACATCGATTTCATCAAAAATGAGCGTTTCGCTTGAGACATCCCTTAAACATGGGAAGCCGCGTATTCGACAGATGTTCAAAAACTAGCGTCTCGCCTGAGACATCCTAACAACAATTATATCTTGGAGTGGCGTTTTTACTACCTCTCGTGTTAAAAATCGCGCTCTCGCTGCATACATTCTCAAACAAATCGGGCGGAGCATGGCCGGCGAAAAAAGAGCAAGGCAGAGAATGAGCAGTTCTGCCGTGCTCCTTCGCTCACGGGGTCTATTCTGAAATGCTCCTTGTTTCGTTCTTGGGGTCTATTCTGAAATGCTCCTTGTTTTTTTGTGCCGTGCTCCTTCGCTCTTCTAGCCTATTCTGCCATGCTCCTGGCCAGTTTCTGTCACAATCCTTTGTTCTTGGAGCTTATGATGCCGTGCTCCTGGTTGTTTTCTGCCGTGCTCCTTAGCTCTTGGGCCATATTCTGCCGTGCTCCTTCGCTTTCGGGGTTTATTCTGCCGTGCTCCTTGTGTTTGTCTTGCATACTCCTTCTTCCTTGGGGCGTATTATGTTGTATTATTGCATCTATCTTGCCGTGCTCCTTAGCTCTCGCGGTCTATTCTGCTGTGCTCCTGGTCACTGGTCGTGTTTTGCAATGCTCCTTCTTTCCTGGCGCCTATTCTGCCTGCTCCTCAGCTCTTGGGATCTATTCTGCCGTGCTCCTTTTTTTCTGTCATGCGCCTTCGCTCCTGGAGCCTAATTTGCCGTGCTCCTTCGCTCTTGGGGTCTATCCAAAGCCGAACGAGAGGACCTTCTTCCTGTCATGCTTCTGCGCTCCTCTGCCGCAAGCGTCTCGCATTTCTGCCGTGCTCCTTCCTTTTTGGGGTCTATCTGCCGTTCTCTTTAGCGCTTGGGGTATACTCTGCCGTCTGGTCTTCTTCCGCCGTACTCCTTCGCTCTTCGGGCCTGCTCTGCCGTGCTCCTGGTGTTTTTCTGCCGTCCTCCTTAGCCCTTGGGGTCTACTCTGCCGTGCTCCTGGCCTTTTTTTGGCCGTTCTCCTTCGCTCTTCGGGCCTCTTCTGCCGTGCTCCTTAGCTCTTGGGGTCTAGTCTGCCGTGCTCCTGTTTTTTTCTGCCGAGTTCCTTCGCTCTTGGGGCCTCTTCTGCCGTGCTCCTCAGCTCTTGGGGTCTATTATGCCGTGCTCCTGTTTTTGTTTCTGCCGTTCTCCTTCGCTCATGGGGCCTATTCTGCCGTGCTCCTGGTCTTTTTCTGCCGTGCTCCTTAGCTCTGGGGTCTATTCTGCCGTGGTCCTGGTCTCTTTCTGCCGTGCCCCTGAGCTCTGGGGGTCTATTCTGCCGTGCTCCTGGTAATTTTCTGCCGTGCTTCTTCGCACTTGGGGCATCTTCTGTCGTGCTCCTTGTCTTTTGGGTTCTATTCTGCCGTGCTCCTCGTCTGTTTCTGGTTTGCTCCTTCGCTCTTCGGGCCTATTCTGCTGTGCTCCTGGTCTTTTCTGTCGTACTCCTTGGCTCATCGGGCCTTTTCTGCTGTGTTTCGGTATTTTCTGCAGTCGTCCTTAGCTCATGGGGCATCTTCTGCCGTGCTCCTGGTCTTTTTCTGGCGTCTTTTTCGCTCTTGGGGCATATTATGCCGTGCTCCTTAGCTTTTGGGGTCTATTCTGCCGTGCTCCTGGTCTTTTTCTGCCGTGCTCGGCAGCTTTTGGAGCCTAGTCTGCCATGCTCCTGGTTTGTTTCCGACGTGCTCCTTCGCTCATGGGGCCTACTCTGCTGTGCTCCTGGTCTTTGTCTGCCGTGCTCCTGCTTTTTTCTGACGTGCTCCTTCGCTCTTAGGGCATATTCTGCCGTGCTCCTTGTCTCTTGGGTTCTATTCTGCTGTGCTCCTCGTCTTTTTCTGGTTTGCTCCTTCGCTCTTGGGGTCTATTTTCCCGCACTCCTTCATCTCTCGGGGTCTACTCTGGCGTGTTTCTGTTTTTTTCTGCCGTGCTCATTCGCTCTTGGGGCCTATTCTGCCGTGCTCCTGGTCATTCTCTGCCGTGCTCCTTAGCTTTTGGGGTCTATCCTGCCGTGCTCCTGGTCTTTCTCTGCCGTACTCCTTCGCACTTGATCCATATTCAGCCCTGCTCCTTAGCTCCTGGGGTCTATTCTGCCGTGCTCCTGGTCTTTTTCTGCCGTGTTCCTTAGCTCTTGGGGCCTAATCTGCCGTGCTCCTGGTCTTTTCCTGCCTGCTCCTTAGCTCTTGAGGTCTATTCTGCCGTGCTCCTGGTCATTTTCTGCCGTGCTCCTTTGCTTTTGGGGTGTATTCTGCCGTACTCATCTGCTCTTGGGGTCTATTCTGCCGTGTTCCTTGTCTTTCTCTGCCGTGCTCCTTCGCTCTTGGGGCCTATTCTGCCGTGCTCCTGATCTTTTTCTGCCGTGTGCGCCCAGAAGCTTTGCCAAACGATCACCGCGACGATCCGCACGGCAGATACAGGAACACGGCAGAACACACAGAGCACACAGAGGCACGGCAGAACACAGAAGCACGGCAGAACAGGAGCACGGCAGAACACACAGGAGCACAGCACAACACACCCCGCACGCACGCCGACACGCGCGCCACGGCATACTTGCGCGGCATAACAACAACAGAGCATTTTCCACATGCTTGGTGGACTAAAGCGACGCTTCCCGTTCTTGTCCGGTCAGGTTTTTCATCGAAAATCCCCCTATAGGGGGACAGGCCCGACTTAACCCTTGGGTGTGCGGGGCCGTCCGTGTGGCCGAGCCGATGCCGAACGCAGGTTTTTGGTATGCGATTCAGGAGGGTCTGACCAGCTCGTTCTGTCATGCTGCCAACGGCCGCGGCTTTTCGTTGAGCAAGTCGCCTGGCAGAGTGACCGCAGTGCGCCGACGAGAGTCCGTTCGTTGTCGCGGTTCCTGTTCGTTCCGAGCACGACCCTTTCCGCTTGCTCGCCGTGGGCCTCCCTCATCCTTCCTTCCTTCCTCGTCGTCCCCCCTCCTCTCCCTTCCTGGCGCGTTGGAAACGGTACCTGCTTGTAGAAATGCCCATGCAGGCTTTGACAGCATCCATGTCAGGTGATCGCGGCCATCGACGGCATCGTGACCCTCCTGGAGGACCAGCTGGGTAGCAGAGATGTATGGCTCACGCCCAGGGCCCAGGGTGCTCCAGACGACACCCCTAGATATTTCCGCCGCGCAACAATGACGCCGCCGACGACGACGACGACCAGGTTGAGGAGGTGGAGGAGGAGGAGGAGGAGGAGGAGGAGGAAGAGGAGGAGGAGGAGGAGGAGGAGGAGGGAGAGGAGGGGGAGCAGGATGAGGAGGAGGAGGAGGAGGTGGAGGAGGAGGGGGAGGTTGAGAAGGAGGAGGAGGAGGCGGAGGAGGAGGAGGAGGAGGTGGAGGAGGAGGAGGAGGAGGAGGGGGAGGAGGGGGAGCAGGATGAGGAGGAGGAGGGGGAGGTGGAGGAGGAGGAGCAGGAGGAGCAGGAGGTAGAGGAGGTGTCCCCCAGTGAAAACACAGGGCAGGGATACTCTCTCTGTCCACCATACCTCTCCTCTGGCCCTCGCCCGCGTCTCTGGGGCGGCCCCTGGCTCCAGCCTTGCCCCGAGACTACCCCCCCCCTGGGCCCACGGGGGTCATCCTACCCTCCCTCATGGGCCCGAACCTGCCCCTATCCCTACAGTGCCGTTTTTAATACATGCTCCGCGTGCGGATCATGTATTAAACATGCAGGGATTTGTATTGAAAACAACGATGAGTTCATGCATAAGTTCATCCATAAATTCTTCCTGTATTCGAAAAACTTAGATTAAAACAAAAAACATCCTATGTACTAAAAACTGCCCTGTAGGCCCTCTGGTTTCCTCCCCCCCCCGGCCAAGAGGAAGAGGAGGCGTCGGACCTGCGCACGAAGGAGGCCTGCGAGACGAGCCGCGCGGAGAGTACCAGGAACGCAGTCCTGAAGGCGCGCGAGGTCGACGACTCGTCGGACGCGCTCACGCGTCTGCAGTCGGAGATCGCCGAGATCGACACGCAGCTCGGCGAGAAGGCCGTGCGGCTGCCGAAAGTCCCGTCAGACTCCCGCGGAGGGGGAGGCACGTTTTTTCGGCGACGCTGAAGCCTCGGCTGTCGAAGCCTCCTCGGCCCCCTGGTCCGTCGGGCTGGCCCTCGGCGGGTGGCAAAGGGGGGGGGAGCAAGAGCGAGAGCACTCTTCGAACTCCTGCGCCGGGCGTCGACGGGACATCCCATCCCCCCCCCCCACACACACACACATACACACAAACACACACACACATACACATACTCACGCACGCACACGCACACGCACACGAACACACACGCATACACACCTTACACAAACGCACACACACGCACACACGCATACACACACGCACACACACACACTCCTTACACACACGCACACACATATCCACGCACACACACACACGCGCGCACACGCACACACGTACACGCACACGCACACGCACACGCACGCGCACACACGCGCACGCACACACACGCACACACACACCCACGCACCCACGCACGCCGAGCGATACGACGGGGCACGCCCAGGTGGTTGATTAATATCGACGGGCTGACGCTGAATGGTCGGGACGTCAGGAGCGTAGCGGCGAGAAGGCGAGCCCCGGCGCGTTGCCCAAGGTGAGGAGCAACAAGGGCGCGCCATGGGGGTGTACGCAAGAGGCAGACCAAACAACTATCCAAGGGCGTGCCCAAGCCATCTGCAAGAAGCGGCGACACCAACGGGGCAGGCCAGATCGAGTTGTGCATCAGAAGGTGGCATCGGTTCCCTGTGGAAGTTGTGTGGGAAACCGTAGCGGTGCACACCCCATTGGACCCACGTGAAGCAATTTCAACGGGAAGGAGGGAGAGGAGGAGTTCGCAGCGCCCAGGGGTGGGAGTGACAGTTTGAGTGTGCGTAGCACCGCGTTCCGTTGGACCTCCCAGGAGTTCCCCAAGATGCCAACTGTGGCGCAGTTGGCACCGCCCAGTGAGGGGAGTGATGCCCAGGCAGGGTAACAAGCGAAGAATCAGCGAGGAGGAAGCGAGCAGAGAGAGAGAGAGAGAGACAGCGAACAACGAGAGAGAGAGAGTGTAAAAAAGAGAGAAAGCGAGAGAGAGAGAGAGAGAGCGAGAACACACAGAGACATACACATATGTATATATACATATATAGAGAGAGAAGAGTTTGAAAGAGAGAGAGAGAGAGAGAGCAGGGAAGGAGAGAGGAGGGGGGAGGCGAGAGATGAGAAGTCAGGAGCGGCAGCTCTCTATCCAGGACCAGCCGCAGGAGGGCTGGGAGCGAAACGCAGAGACACACAGACCACCCCCGCACACGCACACGCTCTTTGTCCCCAGTGCTTGCGCTGAAGGGGTCTTAGCGGATCTTGCGAGAGTAGGCGAATGTGCGTCGCCGAATTCGGCCGGCGGCCGGGCTCCGGGGGGTTGCAGGGTTCCTGGTTCCAGGGTTCTCGGGGGCGGAAAAGAGGGGGGGGATGACTAGGGGGGTGTGGATATCATGGCGTGGGCTACGATATTTCCCCAGATTTCATGGCGCCTCTTCTTATTTCATTACGTCCCCAGCCCCCCCGCTGGGCCGCGCACATGCCGCCAGTCATGATTTGCACCCCCCCCTCTTGGACACCCCCCTCTTGGCCGCTCCCGAGGTTCTTGGCAGTGTCAGGTTCCCAGGCGGTTCCTATGGAGTCAGCGTCAGGGGTTTCGGAGGTCTTGGTCGAGGCCAAGTGCCTCAGAGTTTTGATAGTAAAGGATTTGGGGGGTCAGAGAGTTTCGAGCAGGGTTGACCATAGGTAGTGGAGAGTACATGGATCCCGAGTTTTTGCTGCAACCGCGGTCACAATGAGAGAGTCGATCGAGACCTTGAGAGTCAAGAGTAAGCACTTGAGAGTGCAGAGCAGAGTGGAGCAGGGAGAGTAAAGAGTAACTATTACACATTGCAGTGTGCAGACAATATGGAGGCAACCGTAAACAGCGTGGCGGGACAGAGAGAGAGAAGGATGGATAGAGAAAGAGAAAAAGAGAGAGAGAGAGAGAGTTAGGGAGAGGGAGGGAGTGAGCACGTGTGGATGAGTAGAGGGAGCGCACAGTCAAGCTAATGAATAGGGCGTAAAAGGTGTCGACCGCACAGCGCTATAGGACGATGTTGGAGGTTTCTTGGGCCTTCTTGGGGCTGTCTTGGAGGCCGCTTTGGCTCTCTTGGGGTGATCTCGGAGGCCTCTTGGGAAGCCCTCGGAGGCTTCATGCGGCGTCTCACTGAAGGGGTACTAGCGAATGCGCCCCAATCAGTGATTGGATTGACGGCCTAGCGGGTATTGAAAGAGTACGCTAATGTACTGCGCGAATTTCGGGAGGCGGCCAGGTTCTTGGGTTCCTGGTCCCAGGTTCCCAGGTTCCTTGTTCCACAAGTGATCGGTTTCTTGTCACCTGTTTTGCCGATCCGCACGGGCCCTCGCACCCCCCCCCCCCCCGGAGTAGATCTTGGCTGTTTTGGGCGCCTGCTTCGAGCAGGTGCGGTGGAGTCTCCCCTGTCGGACGCACTGTTCCAAACTGTCGCACTAACCAGAGGTCCGGAGCCAGACCCCCCCCCCTCCCCCCCTTCCGCCCAATGTCGAAGCGCCAAATCAGAAAACACTCACCAAGCATGAGCACAAGCACAAGCACAAGCACAGACACGCCTCTGTCATGTGCAATCGCACGCCCAAGCGCAGACACGCACACACACACACACATGCACACACGCACACACGTACACACGCACGCACGCACGCACGCACGCACGCACGCACGCACGCACGCACGCACGCACGTACACACACATACGCAGACGTACACGCACACGCACACGCACACGCACACGCACACACACACACACACGCACACGCACACGCACACACACACATACACATACACATACACATACACATACACATACACATACACACACACACGTAGCCATTTTGGTTCAAGGCTATGAACCGCCCGACGACCGCGAGTCCGTTCTCGGGCGCCTCTGAGCGCGAGGGGGTTCGCGCTTTGAGGCCAGTTCCTTTGTGCAAGATTCTCCCTCCAGTGGCCAGCCTGGCCGTCATTTTGCTGCTCGCGGGCACAGCTTCCGAGTCTGTGGTTGAGGAGCAATGGCGCCGCCCGCCGCTGGTGCAAAGGGAGGAGGCAGTCGTGCAGCCCGTCGTGACAAATGGCTCTGCAAGTCCTGCCTCGGACGTGATCACAAGCCCTACGTCAACTTCCTTGACAAGCTGTGCTGCAACAGTTGCGGCCTGGCCAAAGGCGTTGTGTACGGGGGCCCCGTCAAGCCCAGTGCGCCCTCTCGGCCAGCGCCGTGGGCCGCAGGAGGCAAAGCAGCAGGTTCGCTCTCGGCACAGCTGCTTGAGATGCAGAAGCAAGTCCAATCGCTCACGTCGCAGCTCAAGCAGGCGAAGGCCAAGCCACCCGAGTCGGCGGCGCCCACGGCGAGCGCTGAGCAAAGGGAAGGCGATGCTGGGGCCGAGTCGACAGTCAAGAAAAGGTTGGACGAGTTGGGCGGCTTCATTAAGCAGCTGGTTGGAGTTGACACGCCAGAGGTTGCGAAGCTGGTGGAGCAGTACAAGTCAGAGCAAGTCAAGCTGCGCACGCAGCTGTTCCAGGAGAAGCCGCCTTCACAGCGGCTCAAGTCTCTCGGTTTCAAGATCACCAAGGTCGAGCAGCATATCGCCAAGCAGCAGGCGGCCCGCGAGCTCAAGCAGGCGCAGCTGGCGGCTTTGCAGGCGGAGATCGCCACGCAGGACGCCGCGTTGGCAGTATCCCGCAAGCAGCTGCTGGAGCTTGAGGGCCAGCGGGCACAACTGGTTGGTGCGCTGCCGCAGCCTCCCGCAGCGGCTCCTGGCACGGGTGCTGGCGACGATGAGAGCAGCTGGACGCTGCCCAAGCTGGAACAAGTCCTGCTTGCTGCTGGCGCTCCTCCTGATCTGCAGCAGGACGTGGCCAATCTGGTGGACAGGATGCGCCAGCATCGGCACGCTCAGGAGCAGGAGCGAACAGCTCAAGCCGAGCGTGAGGCCGCCCAGGCTCAGCAAGAGCAAGCCGAGGAGGCGGCTGACAGAGCCGACGCCGCCATGGAGGCAGACGAAGGAGAGGCCCAGGATGAGGAGTCCGTCAACCAGGCCACTGCCGAGGAGCTTCGCGACTTCTTGCGCGAGTCTGGTGCTGACATCCCTAACGTTGCCGGTGCTTCAGAGGAGGAACTTCGTGCTGCTGTCAAGAGAATCCGCATGGCCGCAGCCAAGTGGAAGGTGGTCAAGAAGCCACGCACAGCCTGAGAACTCATTGTTGCCAGTCATGATGCGCAGCAAGCTACAGGTTACTACTGTCAACGCCAACTCGGTTGGCACCCTGTCCAAGTACCTCGCCGAATGCAGCAGCGACGTGGTCTTAGCGCAGGAGCACCATGCAGGTGCCGAGAAGCTCCCTGAGGTACAAGGAGACGCCCAGGACTCGGGCTGGAAAGGAGCGTGGTGCCCCGCGCTGGCCACAGCGGCTGGCGGCACGGAGGGAGGCGTCGCTGTCTTGGCCAAGACGGACATCGTCGTCACCAAGGCGCCACTGCTGGAGGACGGCGTCATAGTGCCTGGCAGGGCCGTGGCAGCCCACGTGCATGCTGCGCTTCCTGGCGGCTTCGTCGCCGTGGCGCTGTATCTACACAGGCGAGGGCAGGTCGCCTCGCAACTTGGCCATTGTCTGGCAGGTCGCGCAGTATGTGAAGCGTGTCGTCACAGGGCCTGGCCCGGCATGGATCGTAGGCGGCGACTTCAACATGGCCCCGCAGGAGATGCTAGAGCATGACTGGCTCCACCTCGCCGATGCCATGTGCGTGGCCCCGCGAGAGCCCACCTGCCTGCAAGCCGTGCCAGCTACCACCCTGGACTACTTCCTCGCCCACCGCCCGATGCTCCAGGGGGCTAAGTACACCGTCGACGTTTCGGTCACCGACATAACATGGTCACATAGGCCCGTGCACCTCACGCTGGC